GAAATAATTACAAATCGCCCTACTTACGCTTCTGTCACAGAAACATCGCAAGGATGTGTCCAACTTCGATAAGCAATTCACATCAGAGAAAACAGACTTGACGCCCACGGACAAAGTGTTCATGATGAACCTGGATCAATCGGAATTTGTGGGCTTCTCCTATGTGAATCCCGAATATATTGTCAGCCCATAAGCAGATGCAGATGCAGACACCGGCGAAAGACAGACAACCGGAAACAGGAAACGGAACCAGCGAGTTGTGTCGTCAGTTGATATTAATTCTTAATTGAAGCAGAAAGGAAAAGGAAAAATGAAAAGACATCATCATAGTTACTTTCCGTTGTTATTATGTCATATCGTAAATTGTTAACTATGCTAAGCGTAAGCAATATTTTGTTGATTTTTGTTGTTCTTATTTATTGCTCATTTAAATCTTTAACTAATTGTTAGGCACTCATGCACGTACACTAAGCTATATTATGCTCGCGGCATTTATATTTAGTTTTTAACATCAATTTCAATCATTGTTAAGCTCCTCATCGAAATATCAAACCAAAAAAAAAATATATATATATATCTAATGAAAGTAAGAAAATCTAAATCGTGTGCAATAAAAACTTTTATTTTATATACCATTACCCAACGCTTTTCTCTCTGCTGAAAACTTTATATCTATCTAAGCAAAACTTTTACCCTGTCATCAATTTTCCATATTTCAATTTTCCGAACCAACTTTTGCAACTCAACCTTTCGAATTTGAATTTTAAATTTAGAGTAAAGTAACAATTAAAATAATCAAGGAATTAAATAGATTTTGTCTTTCTTTTTTAAACAAACRTCTCGATGTGAAGACACAAATTTAAAGCAAATTAAAAAATATATCACATGCCCGACCTTTTAGCTCTGTCTCTTTGCCAATCTATCAAGACTTTTTCTTCACACACATTTCGCAATTAGATGAAGGATACAGGATTTTAAACGTTGTTCGATTATAATGTTCGCCCCTGCATTATAATCAAATCGAAATATGCGTTTAATCAGCTTTCACCCAGACAATTTAGCATAGGAAACTAACTTTTCTTTCCATAGCATWCTTTTGTGCGCATTTTCCATTTTTCACTTTCGACATTCTTGTGGGTGTGTATAAATATATAATAAGCTATTCAAAAGCAATGAAAACACAAACAATTTAAATTACTTATTTCATTTCGCATAAGCATATATAATCCGAATATATATTAACATATAAACGGCATAGAGTCTCAATGTACCATAATAAATAATTAAATGAAGAACAAATGAAGGCAAAACAAATTGCATAGCAATAAGTGAAGGCTAAAACAAATATTTAAGTATAGTCTATTAGTTTAAATAACAAGAACAAGAACAAAAATTAACAAATTTTTTGCTCTTATCTGCGCTACCCAAAAGTCTAACTATAGATGGGATATGCCTAGATGATGTAAACACATATTATCTATGGGTTGAAACTTTAGTACCTAACTAAAAGAGAACTTAGCAGCTAAAACTACTGTTTAACTATTGAGAAAAGACAATCTACTGTAAGCTGTATATATATATACATGTATATATGTATATGAGACACTTCAGCTACCGAAAGGAATACCAAAATGAAGATAATGCTAAATAATATTACTTAAAATTTAATTGCAATTCGATCATTTTGTGTAGCGCTACCTAAGCTAAGCTTTTGTGCCTCTCTTTCTTTCTAGACGCTTAAATAATTCGAAAAACTCTGAGATTTTACGAGTTTAAAAGCAAAATACATACATAGAGCAAATATTGATATTCTAATAAAAATACATAGTTATATGTGAAGAGAAAATCGTCTAGAAATTTATCATAAAACAACTCA